AGCGGTATAGAAGTCTAACTGCTATTGCTATCTATCTATCTATCTATCTATCTATCTATCTATCTATCTATCTATCTATCTATCTATCTATCTATCTCTATATCTCTGTCTATCTGTCTATCTATCTATCTATCTATCTATCTATCTATCTATCTATCTGATTGTTGGGGGCGATATGCTGACTCTGTAAACCGCTTAAAGAGGGCTGAAAGCCCTATGAAGCGGTATATAAGTCCAACTGCTATTGCTATTGCTATTTCAGAGAGAAGTGGCAGCTCTTGGACCCCCCTCTTCCTCAAAGACACCAAGGCTGGGGGGGGTTGTGATTTTGGGGGTGTTTTGATCATGACAACTATGATTATTTCTCAGCCACTTTCAACCTGGCTGGATGGGCAAAATATTCTTTTATATCAAACAGATAAAAGTTAAAGCACCAAGGCAAAATAAAAACCACATCATCCTCAAAACTGGTTTATTGAACTGGTTAAGACAAGCAAGGGGGCAGTTAGACATCACACATTAAATTGAGGAATTTAATAAAGCCCTTTACGTCCAGATAAAACAAGAGCAAACACGGAAGGGATGGTAAGATTAATTCATTCAATTAAAAATGATGCCTCTGGGAATATTTCAGTAAAACCCGATACAAGATTTGTAGAAAGAGGTTCTTTCTGATTCCCTTTGAAAAGGAGAAAAGGCAGACTTGATCAGAGCTGAAACGAGATGGAGAAAAAGATGCCAGGAAGAACTTAAGAGCAGAAGTCAAGGGGAAGCGAAGGGTTTGGGGCAAAAACTTTGGGGAAAGGGGGCAGAAGTCATAGAGTGGCTGGGAAGACCCCGGAGAAGGGGGGGGTGCAAAAGTCCTGCACTCTTGTGGGACAACTTGGGGGGGGGGGCAAATAAGATGGACAGGGAGGAAGGAAGAGGAGAGAGAGAAAACCTGGGGGAGAGGGATGGGGGAGACACAAGGGGGGGGGGTGCTTTACCCCCAAATAGGAGCAATTTGATATCTTCTAAGGGGGAGAAACGAAGCCAAGAACTTTGCTAGTGTGGCCAAGTCTGATGTGATCCAGGAAGTTTTGCAATCCCTTTTTATTTTAGCATTTCAAATTTGACACCTTTTCTTTAAATCTTTTCAAGTTTACACCCAGCCGCAGAAAACTCTTGTGTATTAATTTCCATTTATTCATCCTTCGGGCTTAAACTCAGTATCACTTATGACTTGGCAATTACTGGCATGCAGGCCCAGCCTCTTTCAAACATTCATTGGGGGGGGGGGGTCAGCAGGGGGCAGGAAGGGAGGAAGCCTAAGAGAAAGACCACAGAAGCCCCCTCCCACCCAAGGGGCTTGCAGGAGTTCAGGTAGAGCCACATCCTCCTGCTTGGGAAAGGTCTGGCCCGAGTTCCAATCCTGGAGTGTGTCTCCCATGCCTTGGTCAAGCAGAAGTGGAGCCTCCTCCTCCTCCTGCAGTCTATCTGATGGGGGAGACTCCTAAGGAACCACTTCAATAGGGTTGTCTTGGCCAGTTGGCTCTTCCTCCGTTTGTTTCTTCCGGGCTTCTGCAGGGGGCCGGGGCGGTGGGTTGCTGGGGGGGTGCTTAATGGTGCCTCCCACTTGGGGGCGCTCTTGAGGCTTCGCTTCAATGGGCCGCCACTCTTCGCCACGTATGGCAGCCTGAAGGATGAAACCAGAGGGAAAGGAAGGAAAATTAGGAAATGCTGACTTTCAACATCTGGGAAAAACCCAAACAAAATAAAGTATAGGGAAGAAATTGGGGGGAAATGCAAATGAGATAAATATCTACAGTCGGGGTATCCAACCTGGGGCCATTTTAAGGCTTGTGGACTTCAACTCCCAGAATTCCCCAGCTAAACTTTTGCTTTTCATCATTTATTCATTGGGTTCAAGCTGGTTTGGAAATGCAACCAACCAAATTCTAATTTGACTAATTGTGGTGGCCCACCAGCGGCCAGTGGAGCTGGCAGCAGAACCGGACAGTGAGGAGTTGGGGAGGAGCATGGGACGGTCCTGGAAGCTGGGAAAGGCTCGGACGAGGACTCTGCATCGAAGGCAGAGACAGGGCCAAGGACATCTGGCAGTGATCAGGTGCCTTCGGAGCTAGACAGCAGTGAGGCAGAGGAACAGCTGGAGCCTGTTCCCAGTGTGCGCATGCGCAGAGCCGCCAGAAGAAAAGAACAACTCAGAAATCAGGGTAGACTTGGGAGTAAAGCCACAGGTGGAAGGTGAATGGCCCCTCCCATAGGAAATAAAAGAGGAGCGAAAGGGGAGGGGGCTTTTGTGGGAACCAATTCGTTCATTTGGTCATTAGATTCGTTTCAGGAGTCTGAAGATCTGTCTGTGAATCTCAGAGACACTGTGCCAAGTTCCTTGCACAGCTGCTCATTTGGAAAATATTTGCATGGCAGCTTTCCAAGGTAGATAAGGTCTGTGGTCATAAATATTCCTTTGAGAGACTGTTTCCCGGGCCTTTGCTGAATGTGAATGAGAGGAATTCACATTCGTTGAATAAAAGGGGTTTTGTCGGGACCAGGGCTCTGCCTCCTGCTTTTGGGGGAAGCCTACAGGTCAGAACAGCTAAGTGCTGTTCCTATCTCAGCCTCCTTCCATATTCTGTTGGTTTTTTGCTGTTTTCCCAAAAGCAGCAAAGACAAGGTGGATTAAAAGAGCCTCTTTGCGTGTCA